CCTGTTTCAGCAGGTGATGGACCGCGTCTTTGAAGGTCTCATAGGAAACAATGTCAACGTGTACATTGACCATATTGTCGTGTACGTTGATGATTTGGATACGTGGTTTGAGCGTCTGGACGAGGTGCTCGGGAGGTGCTGCGAGGAAGGTTTGTTTCTTAAGCTGAAGAAGGGTGAATACGTGAAGCAGGAAGCAAAGCTGTTAGGGTTCATTGAGGAAGGCATCAAGCCAGACCCGAAGAAGGTGGCGGACCTGATGAGAGTGGAAGCTCCGGGTAACGTAAGAGAACTGAGGTCGTTCTTGGGTTCTGTGACTTACCTCAAGAGGCATATTCCACAGTTCGCGAGTAGAGTTGCTGGCATGACTGACTTGCTCAAAAAGAAGACTGAGTTTGTTTGGAGCGAGGCACGAGAGGAGGAGTTCCAGGGTATCAAGAAATCGGTGGCCGAGTGCGTGTTGTAGCAGCGCCGGCAGACATTGGAGAGTTCGTGCTAACGACGGACGCCAGTGATCGGGCGATCGGCGCCATACTAGAGCAGAAGCAGGCCCGAGGGTGTGTTCCAATCGAGTTTGGTAGCAAGAAGTTGGACGAGTGTCAACAGCGGTGGGATACACGAGAAAGGGAGTTGTACGGTAAGGTTCTTCGTAGAGAGGTGGCAGGATTACTTTTGCGCTGCGCCGTTTACCATCAGGACTGATCACCAGAACCTGTTGTATTTGGCTAACTCTACTAAAGGAAAGCTAGCAAGGTGGTCGTTGTTCCTACAACAGTTCGACTTTAAGATAGAGTACCTGAAGGGCACCGAGAACGTGGTGGCTGACTGGTTGTCTAGAGCGAACTTACGAGAAGATGTCGGGGAGGACACGTTGGTGGATCGAATTCAGATGAATCCAGAGCTAAGGGTGGCGTACTGTGCGGAAGCCGAACAAGATGAGGGCTTGTCAGTACCACTTGTTGAAAGGTTGAAAAGATTAGCCAGAGAAGATGAAAACGTGCAGAAGCGTATCACAAAGCACCGAATGGGCTGTGGGTAGGGAATCGTACCGGCAGTGTGTATGTGCCGATGGAGTGTAGGAGAGACCTAATGGCGTACCATCATTGCGGACGGGTTGGAGGACACCCGGGGGTAAAGAGGATGCTGAGGTTGGTGACCAAGTACTTCTGGTGGCCGGGCATAACGAAGGACGTAGAAGACTTCTGCCGAGACTGTCTACTTTGTCGTCGTTTGTTTAGCGCACGGTAGCTGCGTCGAAGCCGGG